GGAATCCTATTATTTAGCTTTACGTATACTCGATTTTTATACTATAGCTTTCCCTAACTACTTTTTTAAATACTTTATAGCTTTAACTTTTTTTATTAATATTATTCTATAATATCGTTACTTAACCTTCCTTAATATTTATTAAAAGTAACTTATTTATAATATATTACGTAATACTTTATTTACGGTTAAAGTAAATACTTAAAAATATCCTTTAACGTCTTTTTAAATAATAATAGTAACTCTCTAAATATATCTTTATAATAATCGGCTGGCCGGCTAAATATATTTACTTTAATATTTTCCAAACTTTTTTTATAATTAATTTAAAAATTAAATTCCGAAAGAAACTTTAATTATTATATTTACCGTACATTAAAAACTTTTATTATAGTAAAGTATTATAGGTTTTTATAATCCGTATAGATCTATATTTTAGAATTAATATTATTAAAATATAACCTTTATTTTTCGAACGCTTCGACGATAATAAATAACTTTTTATTGTAGATTAAATAGTTTTAACGTATCTTTTTTAGTTTTTTCGAAAAGAAAACTATCGGATATAGCTTTTTATTATCGTTTCGCTATCCTAACTACCTACCGATTATATAGTTTAATATATTTACCTCGACTTTAAATAATCGATTAGGGTTTCGTAATTTAAATATTAAGTTTTTTAAAATAATTTTTTTTAGCTCCTAAAAGGCTTACTTTTTTTTTTACCTCTACCGGAATTCCACGTCTTTCTTAATTAAATAGTTAAATAGTCGCGCGATTCCTACGTACCTATAAATAAATATTTAATAAAAATTTATAAATCCTAAAAATTCTTTAACGTATATTTATATTTATAGCGTAAGTTAATCCTTAATTACTATAATTTTTTTAAATTCTATACGAACCTTATTTAACGATATTAAATATTTTAAATATATTAGGGGGGGTATATGGGGGTCGCTCTTTTCTTTATTAATTAAAAGTCCGGCTCCGTATAGCGTATCGAATATCTCTCGTATATATTATGTATATTCCTTTAAAGTATATAAATAAATAAGGAGATTATTAAGATAATATATTAGGGGGTTATCGAAGTATTTCCGGATCGTTTAGTTAATAAAAAATTATAACGTTATAAGTATATTAATTTACCCGAATAGTAAT